AAAAAGTTGTTTGGTTTTTTTTTTGGGCTCCCAGGAATGTAACCCTATTTTTTCCACAGTTCTTAAGTTTATTTAACATGGATTTACCTAACGCAGTGTTTTCAGGAACAGAACTACTGTGTAATATAACGGTCTACTGTGTGAAAAAAAAAAAAAGGTCATAGGACTCAAATTTTTTGGAATCTGCTGTTTTATACCTGAAAACAACTTGTGGTAATGTGTGACGTTGTCTCCCCTAGGAAATAATCTGTCCCCCACAGTTTTCATTACTGGGAGGCAGTAGTGGAGTATGAGAGGACATGGGTCCAGTACCTTGTCTAGTGTTGCGACAAGATGTAATAAACTGTGAGTGAGTCAGATCAAGGTAATGTGCAGTAACATAAGTTGTAGTGATGCAAGTAGCAATGAAAAAAACTTTTATTAAATGTCAAATTGTAGTGAAGAATTTATGTAAAAAGAAATGCATCATCTGAGAGCAGTGATATAAATGCAATATAAGTGAGTGCTTAGAATATTGCTCAGTGCTGATGGCCCTGTTCAGAGCAGGAGAAATATCGGAGCTGGAACAAATATAGAGATCATTTATGGCTCACATTGAGCCAGTAAAGTGCCTAAACTACTGGGAATGCCTCAAGTCTTGAACATGTACTCATTGGAGCGAGGACAGAGAGATACATGATAATACATGTATATACATGTACCTGGAAAATACTTGAGGGCCTGGTCCCAAATCTGCACACTGCCATAACAACATACTGGAGTGAGAGATATGGGAGAAAGTGTAAAATAAACCCAGTGAGGAGCAGGAGTGCAGTGGGGACAATAAGGGAACACTGTATAAACATCTGGGGTCCCAGACAATTCAATATCTTACCAGAAGATATCAGAAATGGCTGGAACTAGTGTAGAAGCCTTCAAGAGGAAACTGTTCAAGTATCTTCATCAGGTGCCAGATCAACCAGACTGTGATGGATATGTGGGGCAGCAGGCCTCCAGCAGCAACAGCCTGGTTGATCAGGCAAGCACCAAACGAGCCTGGCCCATGGCCGGGCTCAGAGAGTAGATAAGCTCTCGAAACTCTTCAAAGGTATATCAAAGGTAAGGTAAGCTATCTACCAGAAGATATAACTAGTTCTTCAGCTTCACTTACTATTAAGCCTTATTTCCTACTACAGTAGGCAGTTTGTTATAGTGAATGAAGGTAAATAACTATAAGCTTGAAAGTGCTGATTCTAGTAGTAATGTAAATGTGGCTCAGGCTTATTAGAATTTTCCAGTGCCTGTTCCTGATAAAGAAAAGAATTCTAGCAATGATGGTATTTGTACAGTAACCCCTCACAATCAAGATAAAGAAATCAGGATACCGAGACTGCAGATAGTAGTGAACGCTGCATGCAAGTCGTTTTTCGATTACATATCTATGATAAAGTTTAATTGATAAATTACACTCAATAAGTGGAGAATTAACACTTTTTCACTGATGAAGAGCAGTGGCATTGCTAGGGCTGGTGTCACCTGGGACGGAATCTTTGGTGTCACCTGGGGCGGCATCGTTAGTGTCACCCCCATGAAATCCAAGGGTGGGGAGATGGGAGGAGTACTCCAGTTACATCACTGTTGCATGACCAATGACTAATGTTTAGCACTGAGAATGTTTAAGGGCCATAAACTGAACAGGAGAATACTTCTCAACTTTATTAATGATAAAATAAATAAACAAGTAAGAGGGAGGTGAAAGTGTATAAACTAAGGGAGGAGGAAGTTCGGGCGAGATATAAGCGACTATTGGCAGAAAGGTGGGCTAGTGCAAAGATGAGTAGTGGGGGGGGTTGAAGAGGGTTGGAATAGTTTTAAAAATGCAGTATTAGAATGTGGGGCAGAAGTTTGTGGTTATAGGAGGGTGGGGGCAGGAGGAAAGAGGAGTGATTGGTGGAATGATGAAGTAAAGGGTGTGATAAAAGAGAAAAAGGTAGCTTACGAGAGGTTTTTACAAAGCAGAAGTGTTATAAGAAGAGCAGAGTATATGGAGAGTAAAAGAAAGGTGAAGAGAGGGGTGAGAGAGTGCAAAAGGAGAGCAGATGAAAGAGTGGGAGAGGCACTGTCAAGAAATTTTAATGAAAATAAGAAAAAATTTTTGGAGTGAGTTAAACAAGTTAAGAAAGCCTAGGGAAAGTATGGATTTGTCCGTTAAAAACAGAGTAGGGGAGTTAGTAGATGGGGAGATGGAGGTATTAGGTAGATGGCGAGAATATTTTGAGGAACTTTTAAATGTTGAGGAAGAAAGGGAGGCGGTAATTTCATGCACTGGCCAGGGAGGTATACCATCTTTTAGGAGTGAAGAAGAGCAGAATGTAAGTGTGGTGGAGGTACGTGAGGCATTACGTAGAATGAAAGGGGGTAAAGCAGCTGGAACTGATGGGATCATGACAGAAATGTTAAAAGCAGGGGGGGATATAGTGTTGGAGTTGTTGGTACTTTTGTTTAATAAATGTATAAAAGAGGGAAAGGTACCTAGGGATTGGCGGAGAGCATGTATAGTCCCTTTATATAAAGGGAAAGGGGACAAAAGAGATTGTAAAAATTATAGAGGAATAAGTTTACTGAGTATACCAGGAAAAGTATACGGTAGAGTTATAATTGAAAGAATTAGAGGTAAGACAGAATGTAGAATTGCGGATGAGCAAGGAGGCTTCAGAGTGGGTAGGGGATGTGTAGATCAGGTGTTTACATTGAAGCATATATGTGAACAGTATTTAGATAAAGGTAGGGAAGTTTTTATTGCATTTATGGATTTAGAAAAGGCATATGATAGAGTGGATAGAAGAGCAATGTGGCAGATGCTGCAAGTATATGGAATAGGTGGTAAGTTACTAAATGCTGTAAAGAGCTTTTATGAGGATAGTGAGGCTCAGGTTAGGGTGTGTAGAAGAGAGGGGGAATACTTCCCGGTAAAAGTAGGTCTTAGACAGGGATGTGTAATGTCACCATGGTTGTTTAATATATTTATAGATGGGGTTGTAAAAGAAGTAAATGCTAGGGTGTTCGGGAGAGGGGTGGGATTAAATTATGGGGAATCAAATTCAAAATGGGAATTGACACAGTTACTTTTTGCTGATGATACTGTGCTTATGGGAGATTCTAAAGAAAAATTGCAAAGGTTAGTGGATGAGTTTGAGAATGTGTGTAAAGGTAGAAAGTTGAAAGTGAACATAGAAAAGAGTAAGGTGATGAGGGTATCAAATGATTTAGATAAAGAAAAATTGGATATCAAATTGGGGAGGAGGAGTATGGAAGAAGTGAATGTTTTCAGATACTTGGGAGTTGATGTGTCAGCGGATGGATTTATGAAGGATGAGGTTAATCATAGAATTGATGAGGGAAAAAAGGTGAGTGGTGCGTTGAGGTATATGTGGAGTCAAAAAACGTTATCTATGGAGGCAAAGAAGGGAATGTATGAAAGTATAGTAGTACCAACACTCTTATATGGATGTGAAGCTTGGGTGGTAAATGCAGCAGTGAGGAGACGGTTGGAGGCAGTGGAGATGTCCTGTCTAAGGGCAATGTGTGGTGTAAATATTATGCAGAAAATTCGGAGTGTGGAAATTAGGAGAAGGTGTGAAGTTAATAAAAGCATTAGTCAGAGGGCAGAAGGTGGGTTGTTGAGGTGGTTTGGTCATTTAGAGAGAATGGATCAAAGTAGAATGACATGGAAAGCATATAAATCTATAGGGGAAGGAAAGAGGGGTAGGGGTCGTCCTCGTAAGGGTTGGAAAGAGGGGGTAAAGGAGGTTTTGTGGGCGAGGGGCTTGGACTTCCAGCAAGCGTGCATGAGCGTGTTAGATAGGAGTGAATGGAGACGAATGATACTTGGGACCTGACGATCTGTTGGAGTGTGAGCAGGGTAATATTTAGTGAAGGGATTCAGGGAAACCGGTTATTTTCATATAGTTGGACTTGAGTTCTGGAAATGGGAAGTACAATGCCTGCACTTTAAAGGAGGGGTTTGGGATATTGGCAGTTTTGGAGGGATATGTTGTGTATCTTTATACGTATATGCTTCTAAACTGTTGTGTTCTGACCACCTCTGCAAAAACAGTGATAATGTGTGAGTGTGGTGAAAGTGTTTGAATGATGATGAAAGTATTTTCTTTTTGGGGATTTTCTTTCTTTTTTGGGTCACCCTGCCTCGGTGGGAGACGACTGACTTGTTGAAAAAAAAAAAAAAATAAATAAAATAAATAATCGTAGTAATATCGTGGAAACATAAACTCAAATACCACTTTGAGTACAAGCAACAGATCCTACATTTATTCATCTTCAATACTGCAAAAGAAAAAAAAATTGAAAAATAAAGAAAAACATTGCAATATCAGAGAAACACTAGTTCCGACTTGACCTTGAGTACAGGTAACATCTCAGTGAATCTAATCTTACATTTCCTTGCTCTCACTCCTGCAAAATCATCTATTACATCTATTGTACTCTGTAATCATATAATAATCTATATAGAAATGAAGGATTTTTCTCTTATGTTGCTGCAGCAGTTTTGTGCATTAGTGTCACCTTCTTTAGAAGCTCTATGGTGTCACCCCCTAAATGGTGTCACCCGGGGCAGGCCCTCCCCCCTTACAACACTACTGGTAAAGAACACTTCTTGGCTTCTCTTAGGCTTTGAAAAACTGTCATCATCACTACTTTTGTACTTTGAGGCCATTGTTAAGCAAAATTAGGGGTTATTTTCCAGCCCTGGCAAACCGCGTATAACTGAAACCGTGCAATCCGGACCCACAGATGCAGAGGTCCTACTGTAATTAATTTCAGTTTCTTATGTTTTACACTCTTGTCAAAAATATTGTTTTCAGACTATTTCCTACATCTAGACTGTCATTTCTCCTATCTGTTCATAATTTAAGAGTTAAAAATGAAGTCTAGAGACTTTAGATAACATTTACAATAGTCTAGAAATTGTGCAATTCATCTTTGGCACTTTTTACTTTCAGAGGTGCGAAATATATGATTGTGGAGAGTTTAAACCTGGTGAATCCTTTAACATTGTTGACAACGATGGCACAGTGGACACCTACCCTCAGTTCCCTGATGATTCAGACATCAATTTTGATAAGGCTTCTGTAAGTTTAATGAAATTTCACACTTACTAATTTCCATTTTCTGATTACCAAAATATACTCAGTGTTATTGCAGTTGTGGAGGGGGGGAATGCTATATGGAAATTATTTCCACCAATATTTTCAGTTTTATCGGTTCATAGTGTAAATTTTATACCGTATGTACTGAACCTTTTTATAACATTACCTTAAGGATAATTTTCTGTAATTATTCTGTTATGCTAAATAAGTTAAATTTCCACATGCTAAGGTGCAACTGGCTGAGAATGGGTTTTTGAAAAACTGTGTTCCATGACATTGTGGAATTGTAAAAATTTTCATTAGCTCGAGGAAACAAATAGAAAATAGTCACAGCAGGTGTAGGTAACTTACCTTCTCAGATGCATGTAAGGGTTGATGCCTAGCAGGTCCCATATAATGTATTTAATCACTGGTGTTGCTGGTCATTGCAGTTACCTTCATCAAGCACAGTGCATTCCTCAACAGTATTATCACCTTACCAGGTGGCACTGCAATTTTTTTAATCATGTTTTTGGAATAAATCATTTCGTTATAGATTATGCTATGATCGACAATGTTTTGACGCTATGAGAAGACTGGTTTCTGCGGTATGATCCCTGACAAGTCTACCTAGAGTAATTTGCTTTATGACAGACTTGCCTTTCTGGATCTCAGCAATGTTCATATATATGTATTGCACATAGTAGTGACCTCTATCACCTTTGATTTAGTGGTGTTTGGTTCTAGTAATTGATGGTGCCTAAATTTCTTATAATGCATGAGGTGTTAGAAACTGTGGTACCCTAGAGCCACTAATACAGAATTCGTTCATGAGTGTTAAACTGCAGCCTACCTATAATTGTGTCGCACATACTGGAAATGGAGGAAGCAGTCGTTGAATGGAGATAGGATCCCTTAACCCTTTCAGGGTTTCCAACGTACTAGTACATTTTACGCACCAGGGTTATTGTTGTACTAGTATGCGTAAATTCTAGCGAGAGAAAGCTAGTAGGCCTACATATGAAAGAATGGGTCTATGTGGTCAGTATGCACAGTATAAAAAATCCTGCATTACACAGTGCGTAATGAGAAAAAAAAAACTTAGACCGTGTTTTTGGTTTAAAACAGCGACTTTGCACTGTATTTTCATGTGGTATTCATGGTTCTGTTCTAGTTTTCCTGGTCTCATTTTATAGAATGGAAGACATATTACAAAAATTGAGATGATTTTGATTTGTTTCACAATGAAAAGTACCTTGAAATTGAACTCAAAGTAGCAGAAATGTTCGATTTTTGCCAAAGTTCAAAAGTAAACAAATCATGCCATGCGTCCAATACGCATCAACTGGCGAGTCTGATATTTTTTCACAAATGCGCTGATATTATTTATACCATTTCTACACTAATACAGTAGTCTGCATAACAGTAAATCTTCTATTTTTTGTGAGAATAAAAATTCAAAGTGGAAAGCAAAAGAAATGTAAGAGGGGCCTGGGGACATGACTAATGAACAGAGGAAATGACATTTTAGTGCCAGGAATGTCTGTCTTGTTTATTCTGGACCCTATATGGAAATTGGCATCTTTTTAAATTTGTGTGAAATTGGCAAAATTGCCAATTTCTGACCACTTGATTGGATAGTTGAAATTGGTAAATGGATGGTTTCTTGTACTCGTTCGATAGAAAAAGTGGATTTCTAGTGAAATAGTTATGATTTTTGTCGACTAGTACTCTGGAATTGGCCGAAAATAGGGTTCAAATTGGGCAAAATCGCTGATGCGTAAACATCGTCGAGACCGCTTACTTCATGAAAGCATAATTCCATAAGTTTTCCATAAAATTTCATACTTTTGGTGTCATTATGATCGGGAAAAGATTCTCTATGATTTCATAAGATTTTTTTTGTTTTTTTCTGAAAAATTTTCGAACCTAAGAACAAGTTTAGGAGAGGGCCTCTCGACCCTGAAAGGGTTAAAGTATGAGGCAGTTTTATCAGACACAACTACTCGGCTGGAATGGTGTGTAAGAGGATCACCATGTTTAGCTGTGATCTACTTTACATCAGAATATACCAAACCAGTGTATCTTAATTGCATCTTATAAGGCCAGAGTCTTTGCTATTACAGCCTTTCCTCACTTAGCGACATATTTGTTTACTGATGACTTGGACTTATGACGGGCTCTTGACAGTATACATACCTAAATAATGTATATTAGAGCTGATTTCCTCTATTCTGTTTATTATAATATACAGTATACTACTTTATAAACATTTAAAAATAAACTAAAAATGTTATAAATGGTGCGAAGGTGATGTTAAAACAATATCAGAGATGGTTGACACAAACCCACTACCATTATAGAATGCTCATTGCTTAGTCACAAATTCATATACCGATGGGGTCTTAGGAACGGAACTCTGCCGTTAACCCTTTGACTGTTTCGTCATATATATACATCTTACGAGCCACCATGTTTGACGTATATATATGTACTCATCAATTCTAGCGGCTTCAAATCGAGCAAGAGAAAGTTGGTAGGCCCACATGTGAGAGAATGGGTCTGTGTGGTCATTGTGCACCATATAAAACAAATCCTGCAGCACGCAGTGCATAATGAGAAAAAAAAACTCCGACTTTTTTTTTTTAATTAAAATGCCGACTTTGTGGTCTATTTTCATATGGTATTTATGGTTGTATTCTCATTGTCTTGGTCTCATTGGATAGAATGGAAAACATTATAGAAATAGAGGTGATTTTGATTGGTTTTACTATGAAAAGAACCTTGAAATGGAGCTCAAAGTAGGGGAAATATTTGATTTTTGCTGATGTTCAAAAGTAAACAAATGATGTCATTATCCAATAAATGTCCAAATAGCCATTCTTATATGCAATCATGAATGGGTTGACATTATTTATACAATTATTACAATATTTCAGTAGCCTGCATAACAGTAAATCTTCTATTTTTTTGTTCGAATAAAAATTCAAAATAGAAAGCAAGAGTAATATCAGAGGGGCCTGGAGATGTGACTAATGAACAAAGAAAATGTTATGTTAGAGCCAGGAATGTCTGCATTGTTCATTCTGGACCCTATTTTGAAATTGTCAAGGTCGCTAACTTTGCAAATGCAAATTTGCAATTTTCCACCGTAAATTTTGTTCTTTTCGTTCATTTACCAATCGGAAAAAGATTTCTAAATAGCATTTCAATAGAAAGAATAAAAATAATTATGGGGCAAAATTTTGTAATGCGACCCAGGAGACACCTTTCAAGGATTTGGGTTTGCACAAATGTCATTTGGTATTAAACGAGGAAAGTCTGTACTTTCATAAGAAAAATAATATTTGAAAAGTTGCACACAGTAACACCAGGTCATAATCAGTTAAACAGGATAGCTCTTCTATAAAGACACTCACAACAATATAATTTATCTCATATTTTAACGTTCTGAAACCACTGACTGTTGATCAGTAGAGACAGGATGTCTTCAGGTTTTAAATGTGAGAAGCACACACACACATGACTTAGTTGCTGATCAGACCCAGACTTGGGAAAGATTTTGGCTAAAAATGTTTTAGGGGCCCTACTGCACTAGCATGGGACTCCCAGGGATAGCATTAACCCCACCCAGGTAAACAGTACAGTCTTGTTCAGTCACCTCTTGAAATAGGCAGTTTAGTGAGGAAATGGTATAGTGATAGTGACAAGATGTGACAAGATGTACAGTTCAGGACATTTATTAAAGGAAATGTTTTGCCATGAGTGGCTTCTTCAGTCCTAATATAGAGAAAACTAAGAAAACGCATATACACCTACCATCCGACTTACGACCTGCTCGACATACGTCCACTGGACTTACGACCGTGCATCTGGCAGCTGGGCTGGGCCGGCTGATGCACACCGCTGTACAATATTTGACAATACTCGCGGCAGCAGTGTGTCATGCAGGCAGCATCAGTTTGAGTAACTCTGCCCTATCAGCAGCATCATACTGTATTAACTGTACTAACTGGACAGTAAATTTCACCATGGCCCCTAAGATGAAGTCTGAATCTTGCACTGGAGATTGTGGCAAGAAAGGCTCTTACTCTCGAACTCTCTGTTTGTTTTCACTGTTGCACATAAACCTGTCTGTATCTGTCTGCCTGTATATCTGTCTGTATCTCTGTGTCTGTTTATCTGTCTGTCTACTAGTGTGTCTGTCTTTCTGTCTACCTGTGTGTCTTTGTCTACCTGTGTGTCTTTGTCTACCTGTGTCTTTCTGTCTACCTGTGTCTGTCTTTGTCTACCTGTGTCTGTCTTTATGTCTACCTGTGTCTGTCTGTGTCTACCTGTGTGTCTGTCTTTGTCTGTCTACCTGTGTTTCTGTCTTTCTGTCTACCTGTGTGTCTGTCTGCTTGTCTGTCTCAGAGCCACTCATTAAGAGTGTACTTGGTCTTGAAGACCCCATATTAATAATGATAATAACAATAATAATCACTGAGGTGCATTAAATGTGTATAAAACATTAATATAGACATTTTGCTTAATTAATCCATCTATGATTTTTTTTCAAAATTATATAATAAACATGCTACATAACATGTAAATTAACAAATGTGAGATGTTTTTCTGGTTGGCTTGACAGTGAACAGGAGCCGTTCGTGTCCGGGCTGGTAACAACAACAACGTTTGTTTACATAACTTGTGAACATTCTACATTCTCATTCTCTCTCTCTCATTTATTCATTTAATATTGTTTACTCACCTCTCACTCTACATTAAAACTACAGATATTTTAAGGTAAGTAATGAGTGGACACAATTATTATATTATAGCTTAATAATAATAATACAGTGGACCCCCGCTTAACGATCACCTCCAAATGCGACCAATTATGTAAGTGTATTTATGTAAGTGCGTTTGTACGTGTATGTTTGGGGGTCTGAAATGGACTAATCTACTTCACAATATTCCTTATGGGAAAAAATTCGGTCAGTACTGGCACCTGAACATACTACTGGAATGAAAAAAGTTCCTTAACCGGGGGTCCACTGTATTAATATTAGTACATATGTATTATTGTAATAATAATGATTATTAATATTATTAATTTAGGGCAATGGAGCACAGATCCACTGTATAGCACTTTGTCTGGATTTTTTGGGTTATCCTAGGTAATTTATAATATGTATGATGACTTGCGTGTACCAGTGAGAGAGAGAGAGAAGATAGAGAGAGATAGAGAGAGAGATAGATAGAGAGATAGATAGAGAGAGAGAGAGAGAGGAGAGAGACAGACAGACAGACAGACAGACAGACAGACAGACAGACAGACAGACAGACAGACATACATTCGGTCAGCCAACTACCCACCCATCCTCCAGCCACCCACCCACCCATCCAGCCAGCCAGCCACCCACCCGGCCAACCACAGACCCGGCCACCCAGCCAGCCAGCCGGATACGTATTACACATGTTCCAGAGTTATTTCTCTTTACTTAAGGTATAGGTTACACAACATTCTGGCAGGATGACACTACCAGTGGTATTCTCCCATTCCACGGTGTCGACAATACATAAAAATAATAGTAACATATGATACTGTATGCGATGTAAAATTTACAATACATATCACTACCATGTATACATTATATACAATACATAAATAATTAAAATACAACAATAGAAGTAAATTATGGTAAAAAAATGAAATAATGATTGTACATTACATTACAGTATTATGTAGGTAGTTTATATAGGAAAGTTTTGACATTATGCCCTACCCAATATGTCGGCAATTTTCAAAGGTTTGACTTACGTCCATTTCGACTTACGACCGGTTGGTCGGAACCAAGCTTGGTCGTAAGTCGGATGGTAGGTGTATGTAGTGGCAGGAGTCGGGTGAAGTGTCGCATGGGTAGAGGTGGTAGTGGTGGTAGTAATAGTAGTAGTCGTGGAACTAAGGTGGTGGGACGGATGGCTACAGAGGGACCTGTTGGCATCATGTTACAGCAGTGTACAGAATGGGTAATATCCTGTTGATTAGCAATTTTGAAATGCTGTAACTACCGGACTTTTGCTTTATAGTGTTACTGACAGCAATTAGGGCAGCTTCTATAGTGTTCTGTCAGTAACACTATAAAGTAAAAGTCTGGTAGGTACAGCATCACAAATTACTAATCAACAGGATATTACCCATTCTGGAAACTGCTGTAACATGATGTCAACAGGTCCTTCTGTAGCCATTTGTCCCACCACCTTAGTTCCACGACTACTGCTATTACTACCACCTCTACCCATGCGACACTTCACCTGACTTCTGCCACTATATATATGCGTTTTCTTAGTTTTCTCTGTATTAGGACTGAAGAAGCCACTCGTGGTGAAACGTTTCCTTTAATAAATGTCCTGAACTGTACATAAGTGTCTTTTTCCACAGGCAGTTTAGTGCTCTAATTAGCTAATTTTCACTATTGCTTTTACTGAAGAACTTCCCTTGCAGAAGAAGATATTCAGATTTTGTATTGAAGAAAATCTGAAAAATATATTTGATTTTTTAACTGTTCTCACTAAGCAAAAACTTCTTTTACCAATTTCCTCCAGTTTTGATAAATTTTGGCTTAATTATGGATTGTGAGAGTTGGCAAGGGACAGGGAAATGGTTGAGAGTAAGGAGCAAGGGCGAGTGGCCCAGGAGCTTGTGGGTGGGGGAGGTTCATAGGGGTCAGACTGGAATCAGTCAGAAAGGAGACCAGGGTAGTAGTCAGGGAGACAGCGGGAGGCAGAGGGGAATAGTGGGGAACCTAGGCAGCTTTTTTTCATGTAAATCAGACATAGACAGAACAAGGTTTTATTTACATAAGACAGAATAAAAAGAGACAAAGTCTGTGACCCCAGACTATTGAACATTTTGCCAGAAGATGTCAGAAACCCTGCTGGGTTAAATGTAGAAGTCTTCAAGAGGAAACTGGACAAGTATCTTCATCAGGTGCCAGATCAATCAGGCTTTGATGAATATATGGGGCAGCAGGCCACAAGCAGCAGTAGCCTAGTTGACCAGGCAAACACCAGATGAACCTGCCCCATGGCTGGGTTCCGGGAGTAGAAAAGCTCTCGAAACTCATCAAAGGTCGCTTGGAGGAATTGTTACTAGATAACTCAGTTAAAATCTAAAATATTCATACCAGATTTCTATGAATATTTCAGATTAAAATTTTAATAGCTTTTTATTCTTATAGCACCAGCCAGCTCCATAAAATGTGGAACTTATTTTTCAGATGGATGAGTTAGCTACAGTTATCAACAATATAAAGGATGCTGGAAATGCTTTCTTCAAGGAGCGAGATTACTCTACTGCTGTCAAGAAATACCAGAAGTGTCTTTTGTATCTTAGCTAGTAAGTAAACTTAGAAGTGAATGTTTATGCAGAGAGTAGACTGCTATACTTTATCACCTAACCAGCAACTCAATAAATCCCAAATAATTTACGGCTGCTCAATTAATTAAGCATTATTTCAAACTTAAAATTGTTTCAATTTCATTATTGTAAATTGTGTTGAATTGTAATACTGATATTTTTTATGTACTTCATCTCAACTGTAAATTTGATTACTGCAAACTATTAGCTACCTCACTGTTGTAATGAGGAAAACAATGTGTAATTACAATTTACCACTCGTTATATGTCTAGTATTAAGTAGTCTGTCAGCATTAGTCTGTCCAAAATACCCCGGCATGCTAGCAGCTTTTTTTGTACACATCAACATGCTTTATGTGCATGCACACATTGTAACTTGTGCAAAGAAATAAAAATTTTTATTTGTTTATAGTGAAGCTCAGGCTACTGTATGTAGGAGAGAGGAAAATTATTTTCCAGTTTGAGTAGGCCTTAGATAAGGATGTGTGATATCACCTTGGTTGTTAACATATTTATAGATGGGGTTGTAAAAGAAGTGAATTCTAGGGTGTTAGAGAGAGGTGTTAAATTAAAAGATAAAGAATCTACTACAAAGTGGGAATTGCCACAGTTGCTTTTTGCCAGTGACCTTGTGCTTTTGGGAGATTCTGAAGAGAAGCTGCAAAGGCTGGTTGATGAATTTGGAAGGGTTTGTAATAGAAGGATATTAAAAGTAAACATTGGAAACAACAGGGTGATGAGAACAAAAAAGTTAGGTAATGGAAGACTGGATACCAGATTGGAAGGAGGTAGTATAGAGGAAGTGAATGTGTTCAGATATTTGGGAGTGGATTCATCACAGATGGGTCTGTGCAAGATAAAGCAAACCACGGAATTGATGAGGAGAAAAAGGTGGGTGGTGGATTAAGGCATCTGTGGAGACCAAGAATGCTATACATGGAGGCAAAAAGGGGAGTGTATCAAAGTAACGTGGTACCAATGCTCTTATATGGGTTGTGAGGAGGCTGGAGGCGTCTGACCACATCGACTCTAGGTTGAGGGACTGATTACCTCATTCTCCTCCTGTTCTTCAAGATTCTCCTTTGTATGGACTGATGAAGCGACTGTGTGGCGAAAGGTTTCCTCAATAAAGATACACAAGAGTTGCACATGTGTCTAATTTATCAAATTTGTTTATGTCGCTATTTTTCCCTCATCTATGTCGTTTATGTAGATTGTGAGCAGCAAGGGGCCCAACACTGACCCCTGTGGAACACCGCTTGTGACTTACCCCCATTCTGATTTCTCCCCATTTATGCAAGCTCTCTGCTGCCTATTTGTCAACCATGCCTCTACCCAGGAAAAAATTTCTCCTCCTATTCCATGTGCCTTGAGTTTTCTCACCAGCCTCTGATGTGTAACTCCATCGAAAGCCTTACTGAAGTCCATATACACAATATCATATTCAATACCATAATCTACCTCCTCAATTTATGAATTTATGCCTTTCAAGATGGCTACGAATTGCTTTGCCAATTATTGATTCTATAAATTTGCCAACTGTGGAGATAAGGCTTATTGGTCTATAGTTCGAAGCTAAGGGCCTGTCACCTGCCTTGTAAACAGGTATTACATTTGCCATTTTCCACTTATCAGGCACTATGCCAATTTGTAGTGATATATTGAAAAGATTAGCCAAAGGTATGCTAAGTTCCTCTTTACATTCCTTTAAAACGCTCGCAAACAGTTCATCAGGGCCTGGGGATTTGTTAGGTTTTAATTTCTCTATTTGTCTGAGGACCATGTCACTAGTTACCCTAATCGTACATAGTTTATTATCGTCCTGTTCTACATAATTTGTTATTTCTGGAATTTTGCTAGTATCTTCCTGAGTAAGAACTGAGAGGAAGTAGGTATTGAAAAGTTCTCACATTTCCTTATCACTGTCAGTGATCTGGCCTGGGTTACTCTTAAGTGGGCCTGTCTTGTCCCTAATCTTACTTCTGTATACCTGAAAGAACCCTTTTGGGTTAATTTTCGAATTCCTTGCGACTTTAGTCTCATAATCCCTTTTTGCTTTTCTTATTCCTTTTTTATTTCTCTAATTGAATATATTGATTTCTTAACTGCCCTTCCGCTCTTTTGATATGCCTATATATGCCTCTCTTTTGATCGGTGAGATGTTTTTATCTGTTGTTTATCCATTTGGCATCATTTTTGTTAGATCTACTCGGGACAAAAGTCGTCTGGACAGCCAGCACTATGCTTTGAAATGTGTCGTATTGGTAACCAACCCTACCTCCCTGACACATAAGGTCATCCCAATTTAGCCCACCCAGGTAATTTCTCATATCCATGAAGTCGGCCAAGCGGAAATCTGGGACAGAGACTTTATTGAAGTTATCTGGATAATTCCATGATATATTGAAACTAAGTGATTTGTGATCGCTTTCCCCTAGCTCATCACTAACCTCAAGATTATTAACTAGTGATTCATTGTTGGCAAGAACCAAGTCAAGGAGATTGTTTCCTCTAGTTGATTCTGTCACAAACTGTTTTTAAAAAATCAATCCTGAACCATATCAAGAAAGTCACTAGACTCAGAATTTCCTGTCACATTGTTCCACTCAATTTGTCTAAAGGTAAAATCTCCCATTAATGCAACATTTTCAAATCTAAACGCCTTATGAATTTCGTCCCATAGCAGCCTACCGCACTCCCTATCAAGGTTTGAGGGCCTATGAATCACACCCAAAATTAATTTTCCACAACCTTCGAGAAACTGTAGCCAAACAGATTCTGTGTCCAATGTTTCTAATCTTACATCTTGTCTAACACAATTTGAATCATCTCTGAAATACATTGCCACTCTACCACCCTTCCTGTTGACCCTATCAGTGTGGAATAGTTGCATTAGAAGGCATTTCTCTATCTTTCAAGTTGAATCAGGTCTCTGTTATAGCAACAATATCTATATTACCTGCACTTGCAGATAATCTCAGCTCATCTATCTTATTTCTTAGACTCCTACTATTTGTATAGTAAACCTTAAGGGAGCTAGTCACTCATTGCCCTCTACTATCTCACTTTGTTTGTTGAGCGATTGCTTTTCCTTTGCTTGCAACTTTATTGTGAATATTGTCTTTTAAACATATCCCCTGGGTATCCTGGTAACATCTGCTGTTTTCAACCCTAATGCTGCGGCCTGATTGTTTTCCACAAACACCTATACCTCTATAATCTATCAGTTTAAATTCCTAGACAAGTCATCAATGACCCCCTCAATCGAATTGGATGAACCCCATCCCTTGTATATATATCATGTTTGTCATAGAATTTGTCCCAGTTATCAATGAATGGGATTGCAAGTTCTTTACAGTACCCGTCTACCTAGCAATTTATACCAATTGCCCTGGACATCCATTCATTTCTCACTCCCCTTCTAGGCAAGATACTATGTATGATTGGGATCCCTCCCTTAGACCTGACAACTTCTATGGCTGACCTGTACTTATCCAGCAGCTCCTGTCTCCTGCCCTTCCTGAGGTCATTTCCACCAGCACTAAGACAAATAATGGGCTTGTTCCCATTACCTGACATATCCAACCTGCTGTCTGTCACCAACACCAGCTCCTGGGAGGCACACCCTCTGTCTGACCTTCTTATCTCTGTTACAAAAAGCATGGTCCATATGTCTTACCTGAGAATCTCCTACAATTAGAATATTCTTACCTTGATTAGCAGGGGAGTCAGTGGTACCTTTAACCTCTGAAGTGCACTTGTCCTAGAGAACAGAGAATCGATTTCCTACCTTCACATCTTCTCTATTAACCTTCTTTATCTTCCTTCTTCCTGAACTGTGAACCATTTGCCATTTAGTGGCTGCAACTCTTTAGCTCACTGCTGGTATCCTTTTCCTCACCAGCTCCAACCATCTCTCACACACTCCCAAACCCATCTAGGCAAAGCTTCAGCCTCCTATTTTCCTCCTAAAGAAGTAGAACCTCCTCCTTCAACACTTTAACCAATGAGATTTCAAAGTACTACAGCAGGCCATGGTGCTCAGTAACACCCTACACTAATTCCCAGACAGCTTAGGACAGTGACCACACGTGACCTCTGACCGCAGCGTACTGACTTGGTGTTTTAATGTGAGCAAAGTAACATTGGAGAAGGGATTCAGGGGAAACTGGTTAGCTGGACTCGAGTTCTGGAATTGGGAAGTACAGTGCCTGCACTCTTAAGGAGGGGTGGAGATGTTGCAGTTTGGAACTGTATGGTGTTGGTGTGCCTCTTGCAAGATGGTGATGGAGTTAGCAATGGTGATAGTTTTTCTTTTCTTTTTTTTTTTTTTCCTTTTTCTTTAACTTTTCCTCACCCTACTTCCTGTGGGAGACAGCCAGTGTGTTAATTATAAACAAAACATCTGACTCTCCAATAAATTTTTGGGAACAAAACATATCTCCAGTTAGATATTAGGATTAATGTAACAGTAAATGAAAAACAAGTATACAAGGAGAAAATATCAAGGTTTAATTGTGAGTAAATTGAAATTTAATGCTCTTGCACCATCACATTTCAATAAAAGTATCAAAGATTGTAGTGGTACTATTAAATTTGTTATGTTCAGCAATCTATGCTACTAATATTTTCCTTTCATTTACTCACACTTTGCATGTTGGATTTGTGCCTGGAATCTACACTGGCAGCCCACTGCCTAGTCACCACTAAGCAAAAGGCAGCTATCAGAATTGTAACAAATTATAATTATAGGGAACAGCCTGTGGCCTATTAAAGTCTAAACCAACTAAATACTGTATTCATATTATTTTTGTTCTTATGTACAGTATAAAGGACTGTGGCTCTACCAAGAATATCAAATACTCCGACTCAGATATGAACACCCTGAAGAATCTGACAGTGTCCTGCCTCCTCAACCATGCTTTGTGCTCATCAAAGCTAGGCTGGTCTGACAGAGCTATTTCTGATTGCA